ATGTAGGTCGTGGCATGCCTAATCCACAGCCCGAGTCATTCGGTAGCACTCCCAGCCGTTTGACCTACAGAGATCAGCAAAGATCACGTGCCCCAAATTTGCACAGCAGTTTATGGCCCTGCCAAGTGGAGCTAGAGCGCTAAAAACGGCACCAACCGACTCGCAGGCATTTGATCTACTAGCAATTTGACCTCCCGCGGTCATGCGTTCACCTAAGGTCATTTGCGGGCTATGTCGAAAATACACCAGCACAGCGGTTCTCGAGTATAAGGATCGACCGAATTCCAAATCATAGCATACCATCCATGAGACGTAGCAACTTTTCCTCAAATCGCTTCTCGATATGTGACCTTGTTTGACCTAGGCAGGTTGAAAGGTGTGATCCGAGGTTCGAGCTGTCCCGAATCTGAGCTGAATCCGGGCTGCGACCTAGAATGACCTTAGGTCAACGCATGACCGCGGGAGGTCAAATTGCTGGTGGGAGAGAAAGATCGGATACCTGCGAGTCGTTTGGTGCCGTGTTTAGTGCTCTAGCTCCACTTGGAAGAGCTGCTGACTAAAATAAACTGCTGTGCAAATTTGGGCCACGTGACCCTAGCTGACCTCTGTATAGGTCAAACGGCTGGAAGTGCTACCGAATGACTAGGGCTGTGGATTAGGTATGTCACGACCTACATTGTGTGCAAGTTTCAGCTTGATCTGAGATGTCCCGAATCTGGGCTGAAAATGTGCTGTCTTGATGGATGTCTTGATCTGTCTGTCTTCTGTTTCTCTTCTGTTTCATCTTATCTGTCTGTTTACGAAGTGTTTTTTTTTGTGGCGGTTCCACCTTCAGAGAAGCCCGTCCCTCCCGCCACTTTTGGAGGTACGACGTTAGCCGGGGGCACCTCAGGTGAGTCGGTGTGTCGTATAAGACCAGCGGCCGCCGCAGCTCGCGGCTCAGTGAGACGCCGCACCTGCCCGGCGCCGTGCCCGCACGGGACAGAATACCTCCACCTGTCCGCGGCGCCGCGGCAGCACAGCAGACCTATCACCTAGCGATCAGCGGCAGATCGCCGACCCAAACGGGGACAGCAGGTAAGTACAAGTACCTCAGGAACAGGTAAGAATTCCATCGTTCCGTGCTTCTATCCTCAGGATACATAAGTCCTTCTCCTCCACGCCGCAACCCCGCTCCGGGCTGGACAGGCAACTTTATCTCATGCGGGCTGCTCCCTTGGAGCGGCACCGCTGCTCCCGAGGGAGCGAACCCCGTAGCCGGGTGCAGTAAGTGACCTGACCCAAAAATGCGGTTGGTGTCAAAAGATCCGGCTTGGATCAAAGGTCAGGTATGCCAGGTTTCAGCTCTCTATCGCCAGCGTGTTCGGAGCTATCGCGAAAAAAACAAAATAATTAGGTACAAAAATAAAAGCAGATCCTAGATGCCTACCCTATTACCTTGTTTAGAGTAAAAACCGGTAGGGCGGGCACATGCCACATTGGTACGGCATGTGCCCGCTCATGCCACATTCTGCACATGGTATGCTTGTTAACCCGCGCCCCACTGGGGGGGGGCTATTTATAGCCCCCCCTTCCGTTTTTCTGCAATAACTTCCAAACCGCTTGACGTATCGACGCCAAACTTTCAGTACCTTCGGCTGCATCAATTTGTCACCTTGTGTCAAAATTTGAACTTCGTACCTACCATAGGTCGGCCGGAAATGACGTCAGAGTGACGTCATGTTCGGCCGATTTCGACGCAAAACATTGAACCACGACAATCGCTCCCAAGAGCTCAGTTTTTAAGCTAGATCCAATTTCTTTGCATGAGAGGACTCAAAATAGACTGCGCTATCAAACTGCTATCTCGGATTTTCGGAATTTTGAAAATTTCGAAAATTTTAAATAATAATATTCAAAATTTATATTTTTACATTTTTTTCAAAAAGTTTTTGACTTTTCGAAAAAACCGGAAAATATGTGATAGAACGCATTATTATGACTACCTCTAGCAAGTTTTAGCTAAATATCTTCAAAAATGGCCAAGTTATACGCATTATTGCAAAAAATTAACAATTATCAATTTTTAAAATCAATTTTTCAGCACGAATTTGACATCGTACGCCAATATAAATAGCACCATCGTGTTCCTGAGCTCAAACTGCATCGAATAGACACCTTTTTTGTTGAAAAATTTTAACTTAAAAATTTGACCTTTTTTGACCTGAAAGTGACCTGACCTAAGCTAAATTTGACTCAAAATGACCTCGCATGACACAGACGACATCAAATTCGAAATGTTTGGCCTAAATGGACCATAAAACATGTGTCACGTGACCGACGGATGATATAATATTTTCGTGACCTGCGATGACCTGACCTTGACCTGAAAATCAAAGTACAAGTTTGGTACCCTCAGAGTATCTAGAGCATCTGTTCACGAGTGTGTGAACCAAAAATGAGCCTGATCTGACTTGTAAGACGGCGGCCAGAGCCCAAAACGTGAAGAAGCCAAAATGCTAATAATTTTTACTTTGACCTGACCTGTGACGTCATCAGTGACCTCGAGGTCAATAAAATTAGGTTTCGCTCGACAGTTTTTCCGGGGCTATCAGACGCCGTTTGAATTTTGACGATCGGCCCAGTAGTTTCGGAGTTAAGAGGGGGGGCTATGAATAGCCCCCCCCCCCCCAGTAGGGCGTGTTATACGCAGACCCCAGTGGGGCGCGGGTTAATATTGAAACAGATCCTAAGATAACCGCATCACCAGCAAATGTCAGAAAGATTTTGCCTATAATAGGCATGGACTTACAGGGTTATTATTTTGTCAACTCTTAGAAAACACCCGGACTGGAGCGCCGGCTTTAAAGTTAAGACGGCCGGTTGGCGTGGGACCGGTTCGCTCTCGGAGCTTGGCTACTTATACGGTCATTCGGGCCTTCCATGAACCGCTGATAAGGACGACGAGAAAAAGGAATCACTAAAATCAGCCTCCGAAATGCATATAGGCACTGCAGACACGATTCAAATGAATAAACGATTCTGCTTTAAGCACCAAAACAAAAATGAAAACTGCGTAGCTTTACATAGGCTATAAATTCAATGTTTGAGGGATGAAGTCCGTGAACGGTGAAACCGTGCCTACCCTTGAAAAGACATGCTCAGCAATCGCAAGGCCTCTCGTCAAGAGGTGGGGCTGAGAAGCCAAACTCATGCGGAGAGCAATATTCGGTGGTGAAGTGTGAACGCGACCTCGCCCTGCCCATTCAGCCCACAGACGATGGACGACGACGAGTTTCGAGCCGCGGCCGGCGACGTGATCGACTACATCATCGGCTACCAGCGGAGGATCCGGGAGAGGGCGCCGCTGCCGGCCGTGACGCCCGGCTACCTGCGCCACCTGGTGCCCGCCGAGGCGCCCGAGCAGCCCGACTCCTGGGCCGACGTGCTGGCAGACATGGAGCGCGTCATCCAGCCGGGCATGACCCACTGGCACTCGCCACAGTTCCACGCCTTCTGTCCGCTGGCCAACTCTCCGCCGGCGCTGCTGGCAGAGATGCTGGCGCACGGCCTCAGCTGCGTGGGCCTCAACTGGGAGGCGGCGCCGGCCTGTCTTGAGCTCGAGATGCTCGTGCTGGAGTGGGTGGCTAAGCTGCTGCAGCTGCCGGACGCGTTCATGACGCGCACGGGGACCGGCGGCGGCGTCATCACCGGCTCGGCCACCGAGGGCGTCCTGGTGACCGTCATCGCCGCCCGGGAGCGCGCGCTGGCCCGCCTGCGCGCCGCCGACCCCGAGCTGGACGAGACGGTGGCGCGCGGCCGGCTGGTGGCGTTCACCTCGTGTCAGGCCAACCCGGCCATCCAGCGGGCGGCGGCCACGGCCGAGGTGCGGCTGCGCGCGCTGCCGACCGACTCCGAGTGCTCGTGGCGCGGCGACACGCTCCGGCAGGCGGTCGAGGAGGAGCTGGCCGCCGGCAACGTGCCCATCTACGTGGTGGCCACGCTGGGCACCACGAGCACGTGCGCGTTCGACCGGCTGGACGAGCTGGGCGCCGTGTGCCGCCAGCACGAGATGTGGCTGCACGTGGACGCGGCGTACGCGGGCGCGGCGCTCATCTGTCCCGAGTACCGCCACCTGCTGCAGTGCGGCGTCCAGGACGTCACCTCGTTCAGCTTCAACGCCCACAAGTGGCTGCTGGTCAACTTTGACTGCGGCCTGCTGTGGGTGCGCGACGCCAGCCAGCTGGCCGAGGCCAACCGCATCGACGCCCCGTACCTGGACACTGCCGAGACCACGCTGCCCAACTTCCGCAACTGGTCGCTGGCGCTGGGACGCCGGTTCCGCGCGCTGAAGCTGTGGTTCGTGCTGCGTCTGTACGGCGTCAGCGGCCTGCAGGAGTACATCCGCGGCCACGTGCAGCTGGCGCGTCAGTTCGAGGAGCTGGTGCGTCGGGACGAGCGGTTCGAGCTGGCCGCGCCCGTCTCCATGGGCGTCGTGTGTTTCCGGCTGCGCGGAGCGGGCAACGCGGCCACGGCCGAGCTGCTGCGGCGCGTGAGCGAGGCGCGGCGCGTCTACATGGTGAAGACGGAGCTGCCGACCGGCCAGCTGGCCGCCCGGTTCGTGGTCGTGTCGCGCGTCACCACCGACCGCGACATCGCCGTCTCCTGGGAGGAGATCCGTCGGCACGCGGACGCAGCCCTCAGCGGCGCCGCCGCCGACTCGGACCGGCCACCGGCCGTCCAGCCGACCGGGCACGTGGAGACGTGCACGTGCACCACCAAACGCAACGGCTTCATGACCGACAAGACCGTCTCCGAGCGCTGGAGGATGCTCATGCTCCTACACAAAGTAGGATACAGGGGACACTGACTGAACCACACAGTGAGAACCCTAATACCGATAAAACGACTTTGGGACGTTACGACGAACCTACTGCTGACCGGCAAAGGTATTATATCAGGTTATTTCCATTAACAATTACTATTTCGGAATTAGGGCCAAGCACTTATCCAAACAAGTCTTACCGTCGTGTCCATGTATTACCAGATGCACTGTAACGCGAGGACATTGCTGTGTGTCAGCCAGCAGCCAGTAGCATTTTAAATGTGTCTACACTCTCTTACGAGGAACATTATTCAAAGCCTGGATACGGCAAAACAAAAACGCAGTGCATGGTGGCATCGTCACCAATGGAAAAGACAAGCTAACAGCAAAAGGTGCATCAACATGACCGACAACTGATTATCGATGATACAGATTGTCTACTTTAATGACTGATTAATATATATCACTGCTCGATCACAAAAACAGCTGATCAGTTCGGCAGCCGTGCAAACTACCATCAATACGAGACAGCTGATAGTCATTGACATAGCCGGCAAATTCGGGTCTGTCGTGCGCTATAGCGTTACACACGCCTATATATTCGATGGCAGATAGTGCCTGTAATATGGCATATCGATGATAATATGCATCAACACATTCACTGCATGTGCAGGCCAGCCGACTGATGTCGCATTGTCAGCACTGACAGGAAAATCTTGTAACAGCCCTGCTTCAGAACGCCGGCTCATGGGTTTCAGATGCCATTCCGCGTTCATCTTGAGATCACTGAGGCAGACGCGACCGCCCGACCGGCCTTTGACGGGCAAGGCGTTTGGTGGCGCTGACAGGGAGTGCAGCGAATAACAGGCAGGCCGGTGCACAGTTCTCGCAGTGGCGTGGGCTCGCACAGCGGCCCAGCGTTAAACCTCCGATCCGGCCAGTTGACAGCGCGCGTCCACGTCTTTCTTAGTCAGCGTTGGGCAGTGCCCACTAAAGCGGAATTCGGTTGTCCTTTGCCCATTGCTTCATTACCTGAAAGCAAGCGCAGACGTCATATCCGCCAATTTACCACGGCCATCATACGCAGAAAACGTTAAGAGGGCACTCGCATCCGTCCAGGAAACTTATAATCAAGAACGTCTGCCAAGATGGTCACAATGACGCGCTTACTTACTCCGATGATGGGCTCCACTTGAGGGTTGGGCGTGTTCCTCAGCAGGGCAAGAATATCACCGAGACTTTCTCTGAAGAAAAGGCCAAACATCACTCAACGGAGCTGATGCAAAAGGTGCATCCCGCAAAATTGTTAACAAACATATTTAACTGTGCAGTGTGTGCCTGCAATAAAAAGCTACAAACAAAAAAGTCAAATATTTGCACACCTATCTAACATTATCATTTGAAATAGAGATGCCAGCGTGAGCAATATGGATATGAAGTTTGTCAAACCCCAATGTTGATGCGACCATAGCCAGAGAGCTGATCTATGTACTGCCTTACTTGGGCTCCAAGTTGGCGATGATCATCTGGAAGAGGCCGATGCAGGCACCCCGTTTGCCCTCCCAGTACTCGGGGTTCGGATCCAGCCTGTCAGCCAAGCAACCCTTGTATGAGCGAATTCGAGGTAAAACAGATGTCGCACGTTAAGTCAACGTGCCAATTAACTGCTCGGATGAGCCAACGTTAGTCAATTCACGGTCTAACAGAGCATGTCTCAGTACCTTTCGAGCACGTCAAAGGCCTTGGCGGAGTAGTAGAACTGTCCCATCTTGTAGCAGTCGTTGGCGATGACCTGCAGCAGGGAGAAGGACTCGGCCGACGTCTCCATCTTCAGGTACAGCTCCCAGGCCAGGCGCGCCTTCCTGTTCATTATGTCTGCGGCATCAGTGGCAGCAGTATTAGGCAAAAAATCGCATATCAATCAAATCACTAATGCTCTTTCAGTGGCTGCAACGAGACAAAATGTGGAAATAGAGCAACGAAAACGTAAGTCTTCTGACGTAAAACATAAAACAAAAACCGTGACCAAAATATTAAGACAGGTGCAGTTCATTTCTTTCCCTACTGGTTTCGGGACTTACAGCAGCGCGCCAGCCACGAGAGGTAGACGTAGTCGCTGCGCACCTTCTCGCTCTGAATTAGCAGGAACGTCTCCTCCGCCTCGGCGTACGCGCCGGTCGCCGCCTTGGCCTGCAGCGGAGCAGACGATCACAATCAACACGTCGTCGCCACACGCCGATCTGAGGCCTCTTGCACCAAACTACCTAGCTAGGTAAAATCGAAAAACCTGTTTCAGAATAAGCTAATCTAACGGTGGTAAATTTGTTTGCAATAGCTCAATACATAATCCTACATGTGCTGGCTAAATTTAGCACGCAAATTGTTACATTTGAGACTTGGACTGGGTATAAGATGCAAAATAATCCAAGCATTGGTGCAAGAGGATTTTGGTGCAAGAGGCCTCAGATTGATTAGTGCAAATGGCAGAACTGGATCAATGACAGAAAGACCTTCACAACGTTTGCAGCCACATTGCGACACACACACATGCCACAGCCACAGCCACATGAGCGAGAGAGAGCGATAGCGAGAGAGAGAGAGAGAGAGAGAGAGAGAGAGAGAGAGAGAGAGAGAGAGAGAGAGAGAGAGAGAGAGAGAGAGAGAGAGAGAGAGAGAGAGAGAGAGAGAGAGAGAGAGAGAGAGAGAGAGAGAGAGAGAGAGAGAGAGAGAGAGAGAGAGAGAGAGAGAGAGAGAGAGAGAGAGAGAGAGAGAGTCCCACCTGTGCATAGTTGAAGTTGAAGGCGTCGTCATTAGGGAAATACGTCTTCACGGAGCTGAGATAGAGCAGCACGTCCTCGAACTGCTTCATCAGGAAAAACGTCGACGCCATGCACTGCCGTCCTGTGGTCATGGCGATGAGAGGCTATGACATCCACGTGTCACCACTTCAGCTAGCCTAGGCTCCCGTCAGTTATGAAGTCATTAAGCATTTATCGGCTGATAACTAAAGGTAAGTATCAATATGTACAAAACATAAACATCTAACACCAACCCTGTTAGATTGAGTTTCCATTAATTGTTTCTAGGGCATGAATACGAGTCGGGAACGAAGACAGCGTAAGACGGGTGCGAGAAAATCGGTATGTGGCACACGACGTAACGAGAGTTAGCCGGTCCCGTAGCTCAGTCGGTACTGCGTTGGACTCCGCGTGGTGAGAGCACGCGTTCCCGGTTACAATAGTCCGGGTTCGTAGCGCGACAGGCGCTTGACGTTTATGGGCCTCCTGACAGGTATGGTTGCGGTTGGTGGCACCGTGGCAGGCCGTAGCCAGGCGAAGTCAGTGAGGGGACCGGCCGTGCGCGGCTATGTGCGCACGTTAAACTTTGGACTCTAAATTCTGCCATAGAACCGGAATTGCGCGATCGGAAGGTAGAGGGCAGGGTCACCGCAACAACCTTCGCTTAGCGGGGGCTCTGTCCTTGTGAATCCTTCCAATCAAAAGGTTCGGACTAAATTTATATAAAAAATGCGTGTTCCTATCCATCTGTCTACTTATAATGGAATTACAGCAAAATTAGGACAAATTTAGTTTATTTGATGTGTCCGGTTCCATTTTCTGTTCGGACTACTGATTCACACGCACCCATTAGAGCGGTGACGAGGAACTTCTCGGCAACTTATCGGCGAAAGATGATAGGAGTTGCACAGTGCACGGGGGCCCGATTATGCCATGGTTGGTCACTGCTTCAATGGTCGATCGGCAGCCCGGACCCATTCGTCGCATGGACCGGCGTCCGTCCTACACTGATGTGCTGGAAAGGCGACCTCATACTATGGGCTTCTAAGGCCCTAATACAAATGTAAACACATCGCCTGTCGCTGTCGGTGATATACTGGGAATATCCAGACATGTTTAAACACTAGCATGTAACAGGGTTCGTAGCTGAAGACAAAATTTATCAAATAGTTGGATTTGGATGCAAACAAGATTGCAAAGCCAGACAGTCCTTGAATCAAACCCTAAACACTCAGCAGCAATGTTATTGCGACTTCCTGATAACTGATAAGATTGCTTTTTATAGAAGCTACATTCTGGCCACTCTTTTACGTAACGGGTGTCGAATTTACCTTTCAGATAGGTAACGCTTGAAAGGCTATTTTTCAAGAAGTACCATTTCAATAGCAATCATGCAGTGTGTCCAAGTACAAGTACCTACACCAGACAGCCAAGGAAACTGTTAGTGATTCTTCCAAATCAGAACACATTGCGTCAGAACCCACAAGTGGTCAACGTCGATTAAAATGGACCAATCTAAGTGAATTCCCGTGCGTATGGAGGCCATCACGTCCCGTGCATGCACAAATCCTACCGGTTCCCCAGGGCCGGTCGCACTGTCTGCATCTTGTTCCCAGCTACCCCAGCCCCCACGGTCAGCCGGTGGCGGGTGGCGTCCGTCTCCACTCCAGGTAGGTACAGTACACACATACTACATACCAGGCGCCATAGATAACATGAATCATGTTATCAAATATCATGTTATCTATGCCAGTTCATGTTATCTATGCCGGCGCCTATGGTCAGGTCAGTCGCCATCTGGATGTCCGTCCCCAGCCGGCCATATGACCGGCGTCCTTTTCAGGAGACCACTCTCCCGTAAAAATGACAAGCACGCAAGGCCAAAGTGTCCTCATCCGTCTGGATGTCATTTGTGGTCGGGCATATTAACCTGGCTTCAAGGCTGATGTATATTGATATGCCAGTAATGTGCGTTGTCTAGTCGGAAAGATTATTATTGTACCGTGTAAGAACAGGTCTCTTGTCTGAACAATAAAATCCTAATCAATCGCCGAATGATGACTACTTCTTGTCAGCGGAATAATCGTTATCGCTGTAAGACAGCTCTGAGCCATTACTGGAACTGCATAATCACATTCAGCGAATTTCGTTAAAATTCACAGAATTATACGCAGCTTGAATATTATTTTCCTTTGTGAACGGCACAGCCGTATAAGTAAGCGTTTACTTATAAGTCCGTGGTAAAAGGCTAGAAAACTCATCCACCACCTACTTAGGAATAGGATAGGTACGTATTAGCCGTTTTCACAACGGGCTATCCGGCAAATGCACTTGATTTGACCAAATCTGCACATAATTTCTTTTACAGCAAATATCTTCATTTTATGAATTCATTTGTGTTTTAGTCGATGATGCTCTCTGATAATATGACAAAGCAGGCATAATATGACAAAGCAAAGCAAATAGTGCAACCCTAGCTGAAGACACACTCGGAACCTGATTTGACCAAATCTGCACCTGATCTGTACCAGATGTGCACCAAATGTGTACCAGATGGCCGTCGTGAAAACGGCTATTATGCACACATTATAGTGCACAAGCATGAAGAGCGTGTGTGCAATGCATGTATGATCACTGTGTGCATTGAATGTGATGTGTTTTTATACGTAGAGTGGTGCTTCGTACAATGCATATATTTATCGTACCTAACATTTGTTATTGAGCACCTGCTGGTTATTCCAGTACCCACAGCATAGGCCATTACATACTTCCCATGGAAGCAAAAAAAAAAAAAAAAAAGTTCCAGGACGCCAAATGTCGCCCTATCACACAAGCACACAAACACACAAATAAAACTCACGTCGTAACACACACCACACGGCTGACAATGCGGCGATTGTCAGTGTAACCGGCGCCCGCGGCCTCGTCTGGCGGCTGTCCCAGCTAACCCAGCCCGCCGGCGCCGGCCGAGTAACCGGCGCCCGCGGCCTCAGCTGGCGCTGTCCCAGCTCACCCAGCTCACCCAGCCCGCCGGCGCCGGCGCCGGCCGAGCCGCTCAGTCGCGCTGCTCCAGCTCGGTGATGAAGCGCAGGTCCGAGCCGCGCAGGTTCTCCTCGATCCAGGCCGTCATGCGCGCGTCCATCGCCGGGGTGAAGTAGTTTTTCCAGTCGCCGGTCCGGCCGCGGCGGAACAGACTGTGTCCCTCGGACAGCAGTCCCGCCTCCCGCAGCCAGTGCAGCTGCACGTGCGGGTTCTCGCTCATGGCGCTGAACTGCAGGTGGCTGTGCAGGGCGGCCACATCCTCGTCACTGAGGTTCTTCCGCAGGAAGTCGGCCACTCTCCGGATAACGACTGTCAGGTTCAGCTCCATCTCCTCGAAGAACACGAAGAGAAGGTTCGGGTGGAGCCGCTTCTCCCACGCTTGCTGGATGTGCGGGAAGAACGGCAGCTGCATCAGCTTACTCTGCAGGAACAGGTCAAAGAACTCCTCGAAGGTGCCGTCGAAGCCGTACGTCAGGAAGAGCTTGTGGTGGTGGTAGTAGGACACCAGCGCGTCCTTGGGGTTACGGGCCACGTAGACGACCCTGCACTCGTCCAGCAGTCTGGGCGGCAGCATGGAGAGCGGCATGTGCGTCTTGACGAACCTGGGCGGGTGCTGGTGTCGGTACCAGGCGCGCCGCGCGGCCGCCAGCAGCATGCGCGGCAGGTTCAGCACGCTCGCCTTCATCATGTCCCACCAGAGGCGGCTGACCAGCGCCGGGCTCTGCAGACACTCGTTGGTCAGCTCGAGGAACTCCCAGCGCACCGGCACCAGCTCGCTGCGGGCGCCGGCAAAGTCGCAGTCGTGCGCTATGAGCCAGATCATCTCCTGGAGTAGTGTGGCGCCGCAGCGGGGCAGCCCCACCAGCCACACGTCGTCCCGGTGGAGCGGCTGGTGGAGCGCGGCGGCCACACAGCGCGCCGGCACGGCCGGGTACACGAACAGGTCGGGCCCGACCAGCAGCGCGCCGCAGCGCAGGCCGGGCACGCTGCGCCACAGGCGCGCCGCGCTCTCCGCGTCCACGTGCTCCACCAGGTGCGGGTAGGCGTCCAGCAGGCTGTCACCGCGGGTCAGCAACGGCCGGTGCGGCGGCGCCGGCGGCTCCGAGCCCGCCGACCCGCCCTGCGACCGGCGCCGCAGCATCGGTCACCGGCGACAGCGGGTGTAGACAGTAGCTGCTGGGACAGTCGGGCCGGCCCCGCCGCCCGGCGCTCACTGTCCGCCTATATTCACCGCCAGTTCACCGGCTCTTCACCGACAGCCTAGCCGGCGAGTGAAGTACGGACTCCTGACCGCCCGTCTATCCCCACTGAACCACCAACTGGGCACCGGCGGCACTTCAGTCGCCCCGAGTCCGTCCGACGCCCCACTGCCACGCCGCGATCACTTCCTTACGGCCCACTATCAGGTGTGGTCTGCCATCCCCCGCCGCATTCAACACTGATTAGATAGCGGGGCTTCCGTTGATTGGCCTACGACACTACGGCTGTAATTCATCCCGATAGCATAAGCCAAGCTTTACACGGCGTAACTCAAACTCGTGGTCCATAAGAAATATGTGTACAGATTTCAACCGTCCGTCCCTCATAGTGGCACACGTAGTCATGTTTGGATCACCTCACCCTCAAAGAGAAATAATTGTGCGACGCATGTAATGTAAAAAAAATGTCTAAGCCCCATTTCCGCCCCGCGAAATGGATCCTTTGCTTCGACATTCCCGAACACCGCCGTTTTCTCAAAGCGGTAAAACCGGCAGGTTAAACGGCTTTTGGCCAGTGAATAAAAATACTGAACTGACGTCAAACTTATGCACTGACTTGAATGGTTCTCATTTTTTATATCGGTTTAACAACACCGCCCTCATCTTTTTATTTGCTACTTATTCTTCGCTACGTGAATCTCCTAGTTCCTACCGATTTAGCGTGCTGAGCCAGGTCAGGAGATGGTAAAGAAATCTGCGCAGCCCGCCGTGTCTGCCTACTCGTAACAATGTAGCCGCCAGCGGTTTCGGACTATACCTTTCACTCACACTGACCCCGAGTTCCCAGTTTGGAGGACACTCAGTCACACTCACCGGGGATGGTGTCACACTCGGAGGCCGAGCCGCCCACCAGCTGAAAGTACTGCTGAGCCACCTTCAGGTAGTCCCGCTGAAACACACGGCACGTGGGGGTAAGTGATACGCCGAAATCAGCGAGTACCTTACAATCAATCCGAAAAATAAAAATGCAGTGAATGTGAGAGATGACATCGGACGCCGGAGAGTCCCATTGTTGTTCGCATACCGAGCCCGTCTCTTTTCCCCCATGTTTGTTCACCTACCGAGCCCGTCTCCTGTCCCATGGCAGCGTTGACCACGCCTTTCAGGATGTACTCCTGCGGCACGGTGGGCTCCAGGTCTTTGATCAGGTTGTACGACTCCTGCAGCTCATCCTACAGAAAGAGACAGTCACATTGAGTGGTGAGAATGAGGGACCGGCCTGGGGAACAATCACCGCCAACCCCGACATCATGCGGCAGAATGTGTTGGCTTAACACCCACCAGAAACTCAGCATCGTTATATTTATGACATATCAACACAAATAAGTTTAACTCGAACAAAAATTCAGGCTAAGAGCACTGCAGTGCCGCTTCTCCCAACACCACCATGCCCCGGATGGGCGGGGCGCACACCTCCCCCGCCCCCGGTACAACACACAGCCCTGCGGCGGCGAACCCTAGCCACTCCGGCACGGTCACTCGCCTCACGACTGTCTGAGGTAGTAGATGGCCAGTGGAACCCAGCCACGGCCACGGCCACCCACCTGTTTGAGATAGTAGATGACCAGGTTGAGTCGCGCCTCCGGTATGACGTCCACCAGATCTGGCAGCACGGAGAGGGCGCCCTCGCCCGAGCGGAACACCACCAGGTTGTGCCGGATCAGGTCCTGGCCGAACGTGAAGCCGGCGCTCGTCTGGTCCTGCAGCGACTTCAGCTCCTGACGGGGGATACATGGGGTGAGAGCGGTCGCCGGGGAACGCAGAGACAGAGATCCAACAGTCCTGGAGTAAGCAGGCGACAGAGGAAAGTAGGTGCATAAAAAAATACGTCTAATTACTCTATATATATGTTGCAGGCACTTTAGAAAATCAGTCATTTTGTAAAATGCCTAGGCATTTTGCAAAATGCCTGATTTTCCAGGCTTTTTGCAAAAAGCCTAGGCATTTTACAAAATGACTGACTCTCCAGTCATTTTGCAAAATGCCTAGGCATTTTACAAAATACCTAGCCATTTTACAAAATGACTGAGCAGCGTGTTGTAGATACGAGTACCTAATTATATACGTTTTGGTAGCGTGTAGGTGGACCGAGGAGTCCAGCATTATGACCAGAGGAGTCCAGCAGTGGGAAGTCCATACCTACCTCTATTTTGAGAAGTGCAGGCCCGCGACATTTCCAACCCCCACGTCAGCGACGCTGCTGGATTTAAAATGATCGATCTGGAGCGTCAACCAACGACTGGCCCTATGCCGGCCTGTATCTGTAAAACTATTAGAGGTCGCGAGGATTCGATCCCACACACTTAGGCGTTAGTGTCTTCTGAAACCAACGCTCTCGTCCTACACCAAGCGACCTGATGATTCTCCCGATGTGGAGCTTGATACTCGTATTTTTAACTGGGACCATGCAAGTAGGTACTCAAAGCTGTTGCCACAAAACAAAATAAATCGTGTTTTGTTAATTATTGCTTTAATATTCATTGTGATCAGAGAGCTTTTTTATTCCAAAGAAAAGTTAGGAAGAAAACCTAAACAATAATAGGTACTGTAAACAATTGCGTGGACTAGGCCTAGGGTAGACTTGTTGAAGTTCCTTAGAGCCAATGAGCGCTGTCCAGTCAACTGAGGAGGGGAGGGCTGGTCCACACTGGGCTTAAGCCACACAATGCTTTATGCTACAGCCGAGTCTGCAACTCAACCTGGTCGTTACTCAGCATTGTCGTCATCACAGAGCTTCAAATCGATCAGCTACAGGCTGAACACGTACCTATAGGGTATAGGAAGACGTCCAAAATCTGTTGGCCATAGTATCTGTAGTGGGATCTACGTTCCATGCTGGTCAGGCATTTTGCAAAATGCCTAGTCATTTTGTAAAATGGCTAGCCATTTTGAAAAAAGCCTGGTTGCGTTCAGTCATTTTTCAAACAGCCGTCTTTTTGTAAAATGCCTAGGCATTTTACAAAATGACTGATTTTCTAAAGTGCCTGCAACATATATATTCTCCATCGCCCGCGTTTAGCCCTTTGGCAAGTGACTGTCAGTCAGCCGTCTCGTAACGCACTTATTCGGCGATCTCGTCTTTGTAGAGTCTGCACCAATGATTGCGGGACGCATTTACCTGTTCGGCGGCCTTTCCGTTGTACAGCCGGAAGTGGTTGCAGGCCCGCAGGTTGATGGCGATGGCCGAGTCGGGAAAATGCTGCAGGTAGACGGCCAGCACCTCCTGGGACACGTCGTAGTAGTCCAGCTTGTAGTAGCACATGGCCACGTACACGTTCAGCGCCAGGTGCTCCCTGCAATGGGTAGAGAGACATCGTACAGTGTCGGAGTGGTGGCTGGGACAGTACAGGTCACATATTTACTGGCTCATTTCGTTTCATAGATAGCCTATCTACGAAAGGTATCACTAAAGCAATGTGTTTCCGTTAAAGCGTAGAAAGTATCGCGACAGACTGCAGCGCACACGCGTCTCCACTATCAGCACCGTTCACTGACTCCGTGTCTGACCTGTTGTCGAGCAGGATGCGCTTGTAGATGTCGATGGCCTCCTGGTAGTGGCTGCGCAGGTAGTGGATCGACGCCAGACACAGCTGGTCCTCGATCACGTCCTTCAGCTGCTGGTGGAACGTCATCAGCTCCTTCTCGTCGTTAAACTTCTGCGCCAGGTGGAACTGCAGCCGCGACTTCAGGTTGCTCGCCTTGGGGCCTTTCTCGGCCGTCTGACGGAGCCGGTCGCAATATGTGGGGTCTCGCATACTACTGGTGGCGGCAAACCGGCAGTCACCACGGACGGCCATATGACACCGATACAAATTAAATTGACCTGTTTCAATTAGATGACTGATGGTTGACTCAATGACTGGGATTTTGACTGAAACAGTATATGACACGATACTATTTCTGCAGGAACGAACAATCACACAGGCGACGGATATGTACATTGTACAATAGGTCTACAAAATAAGTCCCCGCCGTATGCGGGTCACCAGTGGGCAGTTAGCGCCTGAGCGCTACTCGGGCGCCACCTGCCCGCATACGGAGAGGACTTATTTTGTAGACCTACTGTACATACAGTGGCAACTAACCGCTATAGACAGTAGAAAATAGACAGCCTCGCCTCTTTGTATAGCAAGAACGGTAGACGGGAAGCTATAAAGGTCAATGAAGCTTTCCACCCCAGCTGCAGCTGGTCGGGTGTAACCGGCTCGCCGTCTGATCGCTCAGTCTCTCACCTCCTTGGCCTCCTGGTACATGCCCAGGTAGAAGTAGCACACGGCCAGGTTCAGCCATAGCTCCGGCTTCACTTTCTTCTCCTTCTTGGTAATCTGTTCGTACTCCTGACGGCACCACACACACAGGATGTGTATGGACACGGCCGACAACGATAACAAACAGACGCCAACATAGACACCCGAAGATTTATCGTTAATCTTATGAGATATGTCAGATAAAATGCAGTGCTTCCTAATACTCTACGAAAAGAAGTAATAGACCCCAGAAGCGAAATGTCCCGATCGCTCAGCCGTTGTCCAGCGACTGACCTGGGCGGCCCGCTTGTAGTCGCCGTTGTGGAAGGCGCAGTAGGCGATCCACTGATCCACATCGCTGCTGCCCTGCTCAGAGTTACGATGGAACTGCACCGACACCGGCCGAGAGACACAGAACGGTCAGCGGTGTTATAACCCTATGTCTATATAGGGAAAGTGCTATGTACGTACCTATATTGTATAAGGCGCTAAAGTCCCGGTCCGGATTTTGCTTCAGCCCAGCGGACCATCGGCGCAATAAAGATTGCTTGGCTCTTGTAACGAGAAGCTCCAAACCAACAAAAGGTAAAACAAATTAGCCTAGCTAGTAGCTAATTAACTCAAATCGTTTCACTGCAAAAAAGTGAGCACCGAATGTTACTGGTTGATGTTGCTTCTCAAAAGCTTATGGCTCAGTACAGCCTTCGACTCAATACTCGTGCACTTTGCATGAACTGACGCACAGCATCTGAGCACCGGCCGATGGTTCACAGGTCAGAGTTTCCAGCCCTGCGGGACTGTCAGGCACCGTGCCCAGTTCATGCGTGACGTCATGTCAAACATAAGCTACACGTGAAACCCCAACAGTGAGTTTTTCTGATCAGTTTTTTTACATGATATCGGTTCCCGTCGTAAGTTTTGGCCAATAACAAATGCATGGGGAGCGCTACGTCGCAGAATTCTCGCGTCGTCATGCAAAAACCCAAGAATCGGAACCGAGAAGAATTCGTAAACGTCTCTGGGTTTTCCGTGATCTATTTTTAGTAATTGATGTAAAACAGCGAACAAGGTAGATGATATGTCATGACCTCAGAAGTGCGCGTTCACCATAGATTAAATGCCTCGTTATCGCTTAGTTCAAGCGGCATCGTGAAATCGGCGGCATATGGGGACGGCTGGAACCGATATCACCCGAAAACCTACATCCGCAGCGGCCGATTTCGGGACGAAGACGGAAAAACGTAAGTAGGTAAGTCAATCCTAGTCCAGCCTTAGCCTTACTCAGAATGAAATGTAGCCTCGCTTATGCTCAGCTCTGCGGAGATTTGGCACGAGGGAGCTGCATCAAGAAGAAAACTTTGCGGGCTGTCGCGTATGAGACCACTTGGACCTTTAACCGTTTGGGCTAGACATGGTGAAGTCTGATCGTAGGCATCATTTGAGATTGATAACAAATAATGTAGAAATAGCGCTTTACACTTCCTTGCCTTTTTAGGGAATCACTGCTAAAAGCAAAATGAAAATGAAAGAATGCTTATTATATAGCATCCCCACCTCTAGCAATGTTATCGCGCCTGTGTAGTCGCGGTTGGCCAGGAACTCTTCAAGCTTCGGTAGTTGCTTCTTGCGTTTTTCCTCTTCTTCCTTCTTCTTTTTGCCAGCCGGTTTTAAACGGGATAGAATCTGGGAAGGAAAGCAGTGTCAAACAACAACATTGAATCAACTATCACGGGGACAATGTACAGATTCTGGAAAATATCTTTCCATGGAAAAATGTATCTATGATTTATGAGCTATTGGAGTGAGTACCTACCTAAATATTGGTCAGTTGTTGGTACACCTTTGTATCAGAATTTATAAGTCTCGCAGTACAGTAGGCCTACAAAATAAGTCCCCGCCGTAAGCGGGTCACCTGTGGGCAGTTAGCACCTGAGCGCTACTCAGGCGCCACCTGCCCGCATACGGAGAGGACTGTCAGGACTTATTTTGTAGACCTACTGTACCTATTCGTTCTATTTGCCGTGCATTTCCCACACCCATTATGCCACTCGCTCTCATCAATTAAAATGCCTTCAAAGGAATTACTCGCTGGCTTACACCCTCCCAAAGTCCTTCGACGGCATTCCGGTGGTGGGGGACGGGGAGGGCCGAGGGGGGGGGGGGTCGGGGCGGGAGGCGAAGGAATACGAAGAAATGCACGTCCGGAAAGCTACCGCTATGGAACAGAAGCAGCATGGAGAAAATAAATGCAACACGAATGTTTGTAGGGTCGAAGGCTTGCGCACGAAAAAATGCCGGTATATATCTGATCATCTAGTGCCTAATCCACCGCCTAAGTATGGGCAAGGTGACAAATGTCGCACAACGAAGATTGGTTGAGTAGGTACTTACCATACTTTTTGATGACCCGTGAGCTTGAAACTATAACGAAGCTCCTTAATGTGCTGAACAGTACATCACAGTGGAAAAAATAAGGCGAATATAACACAAATGACACAAATATCCTTGAAAAATGATTCACACGATTCGCCAGCAATTCGCGCTGTAGCAGAACTCTTGTTTACGATTAGGAATGCCTCAAGAGTTAATATAATTCGTTCATTATGAAAACACAATCGATTTTCAAATAACTTTAAAAAATAAGCGGCCTGGAAAAAAAAGATCATTTAAAAACTGAAAACAACTGCACTTAAATTCAATTACAAAAACCAGTCAAATATCAATACAAAAATAATAATTTTGAGAGACATAATATGTTGCGCGCTTCATTCGTTTACAACGCATAAGCTTGCGTCTGTTCAATAGCGAAACTCAAGCTGGTTCGACTAGCGAAATCATGCGAAATGCTAGGCAACAACTCTTTTTGGAGCAGAATGCTAGGCAACGATAGCTATTGCTGCAAAAATATTGATATTTCTGAACATTCTGAACAGATAGTTTCGGCAGCGCCTGCCTGCACGTAATTTACGCACGCAGCGTTTTCACTTTGTAGATAAGTGGTTATTCATTGAATTTACGGAATAGCGTGGACCAAGAAAAGGGAGGCGTAATTAAGTCAAATATTTACACTGCATATTTCTTAACTTATTTGTACTGATACTACACCAATCATGGCTATGGCCCTGCAACGAAAAACAAATGTAAGTATAAGTTCTTAATTAGGTACCTACATTGTTTTTACTTTTTTGCTAGTTTGCCTGTTTTCTTATTATCTTTTTAAGTGCATTTAATTTTGATTTGACATGTGTTTATCTCTCTGTGACTGCTGCTTAATTTTGATCTGATCTTAGCTTAATTGATGTTAGATTGGGAAAAATTAAAGTTATTGTCTAAATATTCACCTGGCAGCTATGCGCCCTAATCCAATAAGAACAAGAAGTCTCATAGGCGCGGGAGCCGGGGGGCAGTGGGGGCAGCTTGCCCCCCAACTCTGGGGCCGTGGGGGTGGTGCCCCCACAGCTTTGAGACGGAATACCACACTTTTTTTGCAAATGTTTTCTTTTTTTGTTGAAAAAGCCGAGGGGTGAAAAATAAGTGGCCTAAAACCGGTGAGAAAACTAGATTTGGGGGTACCCTAGGTTAATCTCTATTATGGTGTGCCCCCCAGTCGGAAAGTAGTTCCCGCGCCCCTGAGAAGTCTAGATATTTGGCATAATGTGCAGATGGTGCCAACGTCTCAGTGCAGCATCTGGTATAGCTCTGCATTAAAAAATTTGCGCATTGGCATGGCTGGACAAAGCTGGCTTGGTGACACAAGCGTTTTGCACATCCTAGCAACTGGAGGAATTTGCCAAATGAAAACATGAAAAAGGAGAAAAGAGGCTATTTAGCATGGAAAAGTGAGACTATACCTGAATACTTGCATTGTTTTTTACACTAAATCATAAGACATCAATAACCTCACTGCTGACAAGCTTGGCACAATGTGCATCATAATTGTTTCCTAGGTTGTATTATGTAAGGTTAGGTAAGGCTAGGTCAGGAGTAGGCCAGACTAGGTCAGGTAAGGTAAGGGTTTGTTACCAATGTTGCTTGTTTCTAAATTGTGACGATCTGTGGTATGTAATAAGTTGTTCTCTTTTTCATACCATTGTGTGGAAATTATTGTACTCTTTGGAGAACAGTGACTATTTTGACAATTTTGCTAGGAGAAATAACTGGCCTACTGGATGTGCAATGTGCATAACTGATGATAACTGTGCTGACTGCTGACCTTTGATTAATGAACATGTTGTACTCCTGCTGCACAGGTGCGTCTGCCGCCTGAAGTGAACAGGGTCCTCTATGTCAGAAACCTGCCCTACAAGATCACTGCTGAGGAGATGTATGACATCTTTGGAAAGTTTGGTGCCATCAGACAGATCAGAGTGTAAGTCTTTACTACTTTAATAGTTGTTGTGTTTAATGATATCCTTGGGATAGGTGCTGTTCTGGGAAAAGTGAGGTAAAAGTAACATTTGAAAGGAAAGCATAAATCATAAATGCTTTCATGTGAGTCAACACATGGCTGTTCCAAAAGAAATGCATTAATTTTTTCTACTCAGAATGTTCAATGTTGAAGACCTCCTAAGACAGGAGTGACAGCTGGTTATAGCCATCCCAGTAGCAGGAGGGCATGCATGTCGCATGCTCTCCTGCTGGGCCTTTGATGGGCCATTCACCCTGACAGCTAGTCTATAGTTTGTATCTTACAGTCAGCCAGTGAGCCAGTACAGCTACAGGGTTTTTATTACCGTGGTAGCCTGGATATTGCATCTCTCACATGCATTTCTCACTTATCTGCACCAATTTGTTTGCGTCAGTCAATCTGTCACATCATCTGAGCCACTGTGTCAAAATCGTAGTTACATCACATGTTCGTCGTAGTCTGTCACGACACGCTAGGGGGGTCCGAAATGTATTAAAGTTGTCCGAAACCACGGGAACCGGGTTTTTCCCATAGGTCCTTTCAATACCTTTCCAAAATGGTGCGGCAATCGAAATTTGAAAGAACTTTCACCTTGCCTCAAATCGATTGAAAGTTTATCAAATTTAGCCAATTTAGTACTTCATGAACTTTCGCTTTTAACATACGTCCCACAGTTTAATGCGCAATTGATTGGTCCGGTGATCTTGTTTTCAAGGAAAAATAGCTGCACAAATCACAAAATATATTATCATGCATGCCAAGAGCCAAATGATGAAATCACATCATGACTAAATACCATGTGGATTACAATAAATCACTTAAAATATTGCGTATCAAGATCCCCAGAATAGGAATCGTTTTGGTCTTTATTTGTCCAAATGCGCCATATGCATCGAGAACTTCCACCTCGCCTGAACTGAGTTGAAAATATCTAGGTAAGCCTATGATTTGAGCCGCGGTCTGTTGCGAGTGCAGACGCCCCCCCCCCCCATTGCGGGTAATTACATGCATGTAATGACCCCTCAAGGTTGGCGAGTGACGCTTCTCACATTTCTTAATCCTCACAACAGCAGCTGCTGTGCCTGGAGGGAGGGGGGATGAGACATGGCCCTCATGCATTGCCCGCAAAACACTGTGTCAACGGTACCATTGTGTCAATTTCACAGCACTGTGTCATCTCGCCTTCAGGTGATGGCGCCATGTCTACCGCAAGACAAACAAGAGCTGGGGCATCCAAGCCTCTAGTTGGCCAGCCGAGTGAGGCCGTTGCTGACCAGTGGGCCGTTGCCTTCCTGGCTGGTGATGATACCAGCGGGCTGCTGGCCTTCACCGGAAGGCCGCGACTGCCGACCAGGGGGCTGGTCCTCAGCCTCTACCTCCACATCAGGCAGGTCGAGGGACAATGGTTTCCAGTCAGCGAGATCGCTGGCATCGTCCTGACCGAAGTATCCAAATACTGGACAATGGGGAACATCCCGATCGGGGCCAAGAACAAAACGAAGGAGAAGACGTTGGCCCTAATCGACGAGTACCGTAACCTGGTCACTGGTACCGTAACCTGGGCAAGACGTTGGCCCTGATCGACGAGTACCGTAACCTGGGCACTGCCCAGGTTACGGTACTCGTCGATTAGGGCCAACGTCTTCTCCTTCGTTTTGTTCTTGGCCCCGATCGGGATGTTCCCCATTGTCCAGTATTTGCATACTTCGGTCAGGACGATGTCAGCGATCTCGCTGAATGGAAACCATTGTCCCTTGACCTGCCTGATGTGGAGGTAGAGGCTGAGGACCTGCCCCCTGGTCGGCAGTCGCGGCCTTCCGGTGAAGGCCAGCAGCCCGCTGGTATCATCACCAGCCAGGAAGGCAACGGCCCACTGGTCAGCAACGGCCTCACTCGGCTGGCCAACTAGAGGCTTGGATGCCCCAGCTCTTGTTTGTCTTGCGGTAGACATGGCGCCATCACCTGAAGGAGAGATGACACAGTGCTGTGAAATTGACACAATGGTACCGTTGACATAGTGTTTTGCGGGCAATGCATGAGGGCCATGTCTCATCCCCCCTCCCTCCAGGCATAAGTGCACAGCAGCTGCTGTTGTGAGGATTAAGAAATGTGAGAAGCGCCACTCGCCAACCTTGAGGGGTCATTACATGCATGTAATTACCCGCAATGGGGGGGGGGGGGCGTCTGCACTCGCAACAGACCGCGGCTCAAATCATAGGCTTACCTAGATATTTTCAACTCAGTTCAGGCGAGGTGGAAGTTCTCGATGCATATGACGCATTTGGACAAATAAAGACCAAAACGATTCCTATTCTGGGGATCTTGATACGCAATATTTTAAGTGATTTACTGTAATCCACATGGTATTTAGTCATGATGTGATTTCATCATTTGGCTCTTGGCATGCATGATAATATATTTTGTGATTTGTGCAGCTATTTTTCCTTGAAAACAAGATCACCGGACCAATCAATTGCGCATTAAACTGTGGGACGTATGTTAAAAGCGAAAGTTCATGAAGTACTAAATTGGCTAAATTTGATAAACTTTCAATCGATTTGAGGCAAGGTGAAAGTTCTTTCAAATTTCGATTGCCGCACCATTTTGGAAAGGTATTGAAAGGACCTATGGGAAAAACCCGGTTCCCGTGGTTTCGGACAACTTTAATACATTTCGGACCCCCCTAACGACACGCCATATTCTGTCATCCACATGCTATCACTGCGCGTGCTCTGCCCGCCACAAGTGTGACTCCTCCCCGTTTGACCGGCAGCGGTAACACTCCGGAGACACGAGGCACGGCATTCGTCGTCTACGAGGACATCTTTGACGCCAAGAACGCGTGCGACCACCTGTCGGGCTTCAACGTCTGTAACCGGTACCTGGTGGTACTCTATTATCAGGTGGGTGACCGTCAGCGGCCGCGCGGCGGCATTTGTGGCGTGTGACGGGTTGGGGTGGGTCGGACATGTCCGGTATGGGCCACGTGTGATTTTGTTTTTTTATTCATGGGATCGCAGTTAGGTCGTGTGTACATAATTTTGATTTTTCATGTTAAACCGAACTGCTGTTCGTATGTTAAGAATTCGAAGTCGTTATGGAATGTGAACGAAAGCATGGCAGTGAAGGAAACACTGTTGCCAACCAGTCGCATCTAGTTTGCTTCCTTGTGCGGTTGCTCACTGATCAGTCTGCTTCAGGCGTCCTATCAGCTATGGTTTCCATTGTTCCGCGATTCTAAACCGTGCCAACCTTTTCCAGCCGAACAAGGCCTTCAAGAAGCTGGACGCTGACAAAAAGAAGGAGGAGCTGGACAAGATGAAGGCCAAGTACAATTTGAACGAGGAGAAGTGACCGCTCCTGCTGCTGGGTCGGGGTTACTGGGAATTGTCTCGCTGCTCGCCGGAGCAGTGTGTAATCATGTTCGCCGTGTACATTTTGTCGCAAACGTCATGTCCGTGAGGCGACGTTCTTCCGACGTCGCACGTAACGTATCGCCTCATGTCAGACAGTATCTCACCTCAGACGTGATCTGTAATACATCATCGATCGAGGACACCTTTATTAAAGCTCTTAAAAAAAACGGGATGAGAGTCCGGCCGCCGGTAGTGCGGCGGCCGGGATGAAATGACACTACATGGAACGGGCTGCGCTTGGAACACGTCTGACGCGCGCTGACGGCGGCGCGCTGACGGCGGCGCGCGCCGGTGCTGACAGAGCGCCGATTGTCGCCGGAGCCCACTACAGTGCCGCCCAGCCGGCTACAACGCAACGGGGACTAGGATGAGGGGCCGGCCGGCCGACCGGCGCCCGCTACTATGTACAGGGAGAGAGGGCGGCGCGAGTATGGATCGCAGCGGCCCGTGAATAAACGCCGCCTCGTTGTTCCCTTGATAACGCGTGGTGCGCGAGCATCAGGCCTGGCCACGACACGGTCAGCGGCAGACGCTCCGCCGCGCGGGTGCTGCTACAAGTATGGCACGTGCGAACTCTCCTGTGCTGACTGACTACTCTGCACCCACTCACTACCGGGCGACGACGCTGCCCGCCTACACGTCACACACTACCCTCTCAGACAGACACGCTAGCCGCCGCCCGTCCCCCGCGAGTACAGGAGGTTCCGCGCGGCAGCGGCAGTGAGCAGCACCGTGGCGCCCGGGGGCGGCCCCGGCCCCGGCGGACCGGGACCCGACACACACGGAGCCCCCGGCGCGGAACATTTCACACGGCGAGAGGTGGATCGCAAAGAGGGGTTAACTGGAAAAGCGGCGAGATCTTTCAATGAAAGGAGCCTCAAAGAAGGGGCCAATACACCCTGAGTATAAATAAAGATGAAAATCATTGAGCACATGTGCGCTAGATATACGAAGAACCCGTGTTACACAATAAACAGCCTGTCCCGACCAGTGGATATCACTGCGACAATATAATCCCCCTCCAAATAATCACCATACGTCATTGCCTATAAACTGTAAACAGTAAACACCACGTCAAATGCCTACCACACAATCAAACAAATCAGGTACGAAAGGAATGCGGCCGAACCCCAGCAATGTTTGTCCACACGATAAACACGACAGAAAGAAATGACATGTCCACTAAGCTCTGCTACCCTGTAGGAGCGTTGTCGGTGACGCTGTCAGTGGCCGCCAGGGGCGCTGACGTCGCGCTGCGGTCCCTCAGGACTTGGCAGACAGGTGCTCCGGTCCCTCGACAGCACTGGCCGGGGTGCTTCAGTCTCCCTCAGCACTGGACGTCCTCCAGCCCGGGGGACGAGTCGCCGCCGGGGGACTGCAAGCAGAGAACACCGGTTAGCACGCCGATAGACCACAAACTGGCGGTCTTTGGGTCACACAGAACTGGCTGCAAGGAGAAATGTGTACAGTCTGTCTTAAAAGTACCGCGCAAAGTGACGGTGGATCCATCGAGCCTGACTGAGCGCCGCCTGGATGGATCCCGCCTTCTCGAGGTGGGCGGTGTGGGGGACCTCCCCCGCCTCGGACGTGGAGAGCGCCCGAGGAAACCAAACGGGATCCGGATCGCCCCCTCGGGGGCCGGTCGCCGGTGGCCGACGCGCCACCACGTCGTCGCGGATTTCATCTTCTCCAACGACACGCCTGGGGCAGCGGATGCCCACCAGCGGGACCGGGTGCCGCGACAGGAGGGCCGATGGCCGGCCCTTCGCAGCGGCCCGGCCCGCGCTGAATGAATAGCCAGGCGCCCCCCGCCGCCGGCGCGGGCGGCGGGGCCATGGGTGGCCGGGCTGGGGCTGGTCGCCGCAGCAGGAGGGCGAAGAAGAACCGCCGCTACCGTAGAAACTGCCGTGTCCGAAGCCGACTACTCGTCATGAGCTGGAACGCGGAAGGCCTTCGCAGGAAGCTGCTGGAGGTTCAACGCTGGCTCTCGGACAAGAAGGTAGACGTGGTGGCGATTCAGGAGGCCCAAATGCCGGCGAACAAGACCATCAACATCCCTGGTTTCCAGTGGTCGGTGCTGGCGGTCGGCTGCCCACCTGCTGAGCCCCGCTGTCTACGTCTCCGTCGACGCCGTGGTCGGGCCGACGGCCGGCTGCCCACCTGCTGAGCCCCGCTGTCTACGTCTCCGTCAACGCCGTGGTCGGGCCGACGGCCGGCGGCCCGCCTGCCATTCCCGCTGTCTACGTCTCCACCTGCTGAGCCCCGCTGTCTCCGTCTCCGTCGACGCCGTGGTCGGGCCGACAGCCGGCTGCCCACCTGCTGAGCCCCGCTGTCTACGTCTCCGTCGACGCCGTGGTCAGGCCGACGGCCGGCTGCCCACCTGCTGAGCCCCGCTGTCTACGTCTCCGTCGACGCCGTGGTCGGTGCCGACGGCCGGCTGCCCACCTGCTGAGCCCCGCTGTCTACGTCTCCGTCGACGCCGTGGTCGGTGCCGACGGCCGGCTGCCCGCCTGCTGAGCCCCGCTGTCTACGTCTCCGTCGACGCCGTGGTCGGTGCCGACGGCCGGCTGCCCGCCTGCTGTTCCCGCTCGTCTCTGCCAGCACTGTGTTCGGTGCCGACGGCGGCAGCCCGCCTGCTGAGCCCCGCTGTCTACGCCTCCGTGGACGCCGTGGTCGGGCCGACGGCCGGCTGCCCGCCTGCCGTTCCCGCTGTCTACGTCTCCACCTGCTGAGCCCCGCTGTCTACGTCTCCGTCGACGCCGTGGTCGGTGCCGACGGCCGGCTGCCCGCCTGCTGTTCCCGCTCGTCTCTGCCGGCGCTGTGTTCGGTGCCGACGGCGGCGGCTGTCCGTCTGTCATCCCCGGTCGTCTGCCAGCGCCATGGTCGTCGGTGCCGGCGGCCGGCTGCCCACCTGCTGAGCCCCGCTGTCTACGTCTCCGTCGACGCCGTGGTCGGTGCCGACGGCCGGCTGCCCGCCTGCTGAGCCCCGCTGTCTACGTCTCCGTCGACGCCGTGGTCGGTGCCGGCGGCCGGCTGCCCGCCTGCCGTTCCCGCTCGTCTCTGCCGGCGCTGTGTTCGGTGCCGACGGCGGCGGCTGTCCGTCTGCGTCCCCGGTCGTCTGTCTGCGCCATGGTCGTCGGTGCCGGCGGCCGGCTGCCTGGCTGCCGTCCCTGCTCGTTGTCGGCGTCGTGGCCGGCTGCCTGCGCCGTTGGCGGTGCCGGCGGCCGGCTGTCTGCCCGCCTGACGTCCACGGTCGTCGGTCCTCAGACGGGCGACTGACGTCCTCGCTCGTCTCTGGTCGTCGCTCGTCTCCGTCGACGCTGGTTTGGTGGTCGGCGTGTAGTGGGCGGTACAGGTGATCAAGTGTTTGGGTACTATTGCCTTGTGCTTGGGGCTTCCGAGGGGAGGGAGAGCTGGGGTTTGGATGCGACGGGGGGGGCTGTTTGGATCTGGGATTACGACCGGGCTTCCGGGGTGGCGGCTGGGGGATGGGGATGGGGGGGGGTCGGGGCGTCGGCTTGGGTTTGTTAAACTCTTCGTGTGACGTAAGGTACTCTTTTAAGTGTCAGCAGTGAATGCAAGTAGTTTTAGAGTTCAGATGTATTTATCCATGTGTATTCTTTCTGCTACGTTCTGCTTTGCCATTTGTTTTGTTTTTGTTTTTGTCAGTTTCCGTAAGTTTAAATCGTTTAATTTTACCGTCTATCTGAGTTATTTTGTTATATGCATTGTTTGGTCTTGTTGTTTGATTGTTTTGTTATGTGAATGTTCTGTTTATCGCCCGTCGCCGCGCCACCGACATCTGCTGAGCGTCATTTCACTTTCTTCAGGTCCCGGGTGCCGGGCTGCTTCAGTTGGGTCGGCGGCGTCTACACCAGACACGTCAACACATTCTAGATCTTCAAGCGGAAGCCACAACAACCACATCATCGTATCACACGTAAATATAAATTCCATCACATCTCGCTGCCGACTTGACGAGCTATCCTACTTTTCCTCTCTTCACGAGATCGACATACTCGGACTTTCTGAGACAAAGCTTGACGACACAGTACACCCTTCTCTTTACACCCTTGACAACTTTCATGACCCATTAACTAAACATAGGAATAGAAATGGGGGAGGGGTGGCTATGTACGTTCGCAGTAATATTCCGGTTAAACGACTCTTTCATCTCGAACATCACGACTATGAATGGATTTGGTGTCTGATAAAATTAGGTAAATTTAGTGTAATAGTGTGCACAGTATACCTTCCTCCGAATATGACCGCACCACAGCATACTAATTTTTTAGAAAACTTAAACGAATCCATAACCCTAGCTCAAGTCCACTCACCAGACAATATTGTTATTTTGGGAGATTTTAATGCTGGAAACACATATCTCAACTCAGACTTATTTAACCATAGCCCCGTAACACCATTTGAAATTACCCTACAGGATGAACTTTATTCACTCAACCTCAAGCAGCTCATTAATCAACCCACACGTTATGCAGACACCAGTGTTACCAATTTACGCGATCTTCTTATAGTATCAAACCCAGAAATGGTCCTTGACAGTGGTACACTTCCTCCTTTTTCAAAAATTGATCATTTACCAATATTTGCCTGTCTTAACATAAGTCGCCCCTCCAGCGTAACATATTCCATTAAACTATGGGACTACAGACATATGGACGCAGACAAACTGACACGACTTTTGATGGACACTGACTGGGACAGACTTTTGGACTGTGACTTGGACGACGCAGCATATAACTTGACTGACGCTCTATTAACTGCAGCCAAAGCAGCCATTCCAAGTCGGAAAATTACAATAAAATCTCACGACAAACCATGGCTTACCATTGAACTTAAACGAGAAATACGCAAGCGGAATAGGCTTTTCAACATAGCAAAAAGACGTAACACGGACGATGACTGGGAACGATGGAGACGACAGCGAAACAAGACCACAGAGACAAACCAAAGACTTAAAAATAGACACATACAAAACCAAATTGACAAACTTCTTGACCATAAAAAGGACCCACGATCATATTACAAAATTTTAAACAGTATTATCGGAAAAAGGACTCATCGTAGCATGCCACCGCTTATAAATCAAGACGGCATACCAATCTCAGACGACTTTGACAAAGCGAC